ACGACGGACGGACGTAGTACGTACGACGTACGGTACCGACGACTCTACTACTTACGTACGTAGTACGTCTACTACTCTTACTTAATTAAGTAGGTCGGCGTGTATATATATATATATATATATATATATATATATATATATATATTGTTTTAAAAATTTGTTTTAAAAATTAAGACAAACAAAAACAAAATAAAAACCAGCAAGACTTGGTTGTCTTGGTTTAACTCAGAGACGGCCTAGATTTGAGGCATGGCTCAGCCCGCAGGCCAAATTTTGAGAATTGGGCCTGGTCTGGACCTAGCCACGGTTTTTCGCTCACCCCAATTGGGATTGGGTAATTTTAAATATGCCGAGAGAGAGATAGAGCAAGGAGAATAAGAGCACGCAATCTCGTAAATATTGGTAATCTTTTGAAACACTCTCATTGTTCTTGCAAAATAAGTGTTAACTTTTCACAAATAATTGTTTTCTATCTACAATAATGGGTCAAATCATGTTCTGTTACCTAGGGTATTTTACACAAGAACATGTTTCGCAAATTTTTTGACCCGTAACCACTTTGTGGAAGCAAAAAAAACATGGATACTAAAAATTCAAAGGAAAAAAAAAGGTTGACGTATTATAGACACCACATTTGAAATCGGTTAGTTTCCCTAATTCCCAAATCCCTAAATTCCGTAAAACTTGTAACCTCATACCCTAACCACTTTCTCATACCTAAAACTCAAGGCTTTAAACTTATCCAATACCCCAAAGTAATAATCCTAGACACCCTTGAGCCTAACAAACATGGAAGACCAACTTGAATACCGATCCAATACCCAAAAACCTGAAAACCGAACCCTAAAGTTCTAGCCCTGCAAATCCTTTAAAACTCCCTCAAATTGAGGCATACTTGATTTCAAACCTTAGATGTGGTCACAAGCTTTCAAAAGGGTCCCAGAATCACTCAAATCAAAATGTGATTAGAAAGTTAATCGCCCGAACAAGGTTGGTTGCAGAAAATTCTAGTTTGATCCTGACGATGCGCAGTGTGCTGTCAGGCCTATTGTGCTCGATGGTGGGATATGTGTCGTTTTCCTCCATCATCTAGAAAATCCCAAAAAAAATTGAAAATTTGGAAATATTGTTTGGGGTTTTCTAAAATCTTTTGGAAGGTTCTGAGTCATGATTTGACTCTTTATCAAACTATGAATCCTAATATTAAAAGAAAGAAGAAGTTTATATAAGGATGCAACGTTATAATGTAGAACTATGAATGCACCTCAAAAATCCATCGGAAAAAGTAGTTTTAATGTTGAAAAACCTTTTGATTGATCATCTCGACATCAAGATGTATGGCTATGAAAAATAAAAAAAATTTAAGTCTAAAAAATAGTGCATTTTACAACATATTATCTACACTGTCCATTTTCAAGATTTTCTTATGTTTATAAATCTACTTGATTTTAACCATTTTTTAAATTTAAAATTTTATAATTAGATATAAAAATAGATTTTGAGATAATCCTAATAACATTTTACCTCAAAATTATATACCATAATAAAATTTGAAGGTGCACCTTACCTCTACAGCTACGCATGCATCTGTATGCTACGGATGCATCCGCGTGCCAACTGTACCTTAAAAGAATATTCCTTGAGAGATGTCTAAGACCCACACCTATATGACTAACTCTAACCCTCCATAGAAAATAAACCTAAAAAATCATCGAAAAAATTCTTAGAAATTAGAAGCCAAAAATTATAGGAAAAACTTCTAAAAGTTTAAAAAAAAAATCCAAAAAATCATTGAAATGCCTTAAAATATTATTTAGAAATTAGAAAGCTTAGAAAATTAGCAGAAAGAGCCAAAAATCCCTTAGACTAACCTAAACACTAGAAACCCTCGATCAAGGAAACCCTAAACTCATTCTCTTTAATTTCAAAATTGTAATTTTAAATTCAAATTCAAAAGCCTTTTGAAGATAATGTCCTAAGCACATCAGAAGGCCTAGGATGGACATACCCTAGGAATTCTCGAAGAAAAGAGAAGGAGATTAATGTAAACAACCCATGGTCTGATACTGTCACTAACTCTAGGTCTTCGAGTGTACTAGTCCAATCGGCTGAGGAAGTAAGTTTCCATTTCGTTTGCATTAATTTTAGTTTCTACGTTTTATTGTGGACTTTGTGTAATTTCAATTCGGCTTTGCTAGCGGTTTTCAAAGAGGATTGATCGTTCACAATCTGGTTTCTATTTGGACTGTAATTTGATGGACCCTACCTTTCTCTCTTGATTATTAATTTTTAACAGTTTAAAGCATGAATTTAAGGAGGTTTCATCTGATATCTCTTCATATTTGCATTATAAACAATTTGGAGCACATCAAGCTTGAAAATGGCACAAAATATGCCAAAAAATTACCTTGAAAATATGATTTCTGACAAATCATAAATCTTAAATTTTATATAAGAAAATTTTACTGATTCAGGAGGGTAGAGAAATTGAAGACGCAATCGCGTTGTAGGAGAAAAGGGCAAGAATCATACTACGCGTCGTCTTTGACTCTTTCGGCTTATCGTCCTTGACTCTTCCGGCCTATCTGCCTCCATATGATGCACTGTGCATCATTTGGTCCAGTAAGGCAAATGACACATACTGTGTCGTTTTCAAAACCACATCCCGAAACTTGCTTTTTTCTTGTATCTACCCGTGGTTGTTTCAGAGGGGTTGTGCTTCCCTATTCCATTCTTTTCAGTTATGCTTTCCTTGATTTAGTTTTGAATTTTTCACCCATGTATTGTTTTCTAGATCTTTGCACACACCCATATCATAGGCAAAAAATCAATCTTCAATTTTTTTAAAAATCCTCCAAAGTTGGCATTAACGCAGAGAGGGGTACCTAGCTATTGCGAGCCGAGACAGTAGGGGACTTTAATTATGAGTGCCTCTCTACAATTATTTGCCCCAAAGCAGTACATACATAGTAAGACCCTGTTGAACCCTTTAACAGGTGACCAAGACTTACGTGGGTACCTATTCATACCTAACCGCCTTTCAAGTTTTTCAAATCTTCCAAACTTTTTGAGTGATGATTTACTTACCTTGATCATGGTTAGCTTTGTCAGTATTTGGTCTAACCTATCTTAGTTAAGGATTGAGGCTCCAGTCTTACCCTAGATTAGGATTTATTGCTCACATCAAACCAAGATAAGGTTCGACCCTATCTCCTCAATCTAGCCTATGTCCAGAGCTCTATGTCACTAGTCTGAGAGGCACCATACAAGCACCCTTCAAAATCATAGTATTTATGTGGGTGAGTCTAGTCTTAACCCATGGGAATTATACCCGGTAGTACATAAGTCCACGCTAGTGGTACTCAGGATCGTTGTTTCGGAACCACGGCCCCCCCAAGTCAATAGGACCCGCAATATGCTAAATAATTAGGGTATCAGGCCAGGGTAATCCTTTAAGACAGGGGGATCAGCCTAAAGCCCTGTTAGCATGACTAAGGTAAAGCACATGTTTAAACCCCTCAAATCTTTGAGCCAACGACCCTAGTCGGGTCAACCCCATTGCTCAGTTATCTAACCCTAATGGCTAGCCAGTTCGGGGCCCAATAGGTCTAACCTCAAATAGGTCTATGGATAGCCCACCTGCCCATGCTACACCAGCCGGATCCAAGGTCCTAGCCTAAGTCAGTTGCAGCCACGTCCTAAGGTATATATGTTAAACTAGGTTTATACTATCAAACCTAGTCAACAGAAGAAGGGTAGATAAGAAGTTCAAAACCCTAGGTGACCTTCAGCCAATTGGCTCGAATCAGTTTAAACCTTGGGAGCCAACAAATAGTTAGACAATTAAATCAGGTACCACCTACTAAGAGTAGAGTACCTAGACAAGGGTATAGTTCTCGTTACCATCAATTGATTGCCTTGAGGGCGGACACCCACTAGTAGTAGCCATGGGCTTCACACCCTCTTCCAGTCTAGTGTTGGCGAAAGAAGCAGTCCCGAATCTAGGAACATAACACCCCAGTTCAAGATAGGAGCAGGTAGACCTAGCCAACCAAAGTCGATCCCAAATGTCTAA